GATGAGACAATGTCTCTCATAGCTGCCGTGACAAGCGTGGTCCCCTACTGAAGAAGTAGAGGATGACCCTCTCGGACAGATGCACACAAAACGTCCTGAGTATCTATGGCAGCAGCGGGTCGTCAAAAAGCAGGGACTAGCGCCCTTTTTCTAGATGCTCCCCGACCTGTCATCATAAAAAAACAATTTTATTATTATATGGTTAGACAGAGTCACACGACCGCCAACGCTGTAAATCAGAAGTAGCTACACATGTTTTAGCCATCTTATCTCACCGCATGGCTTCAAGCAAAACCGTAGGGCCATAACGTTGTAGGAAGGCAACCCAAGTTCGAGTCTGCTCCGCATGAGGCAGCAGGCCAGCGACCCAGTTCCTAAGATTGGTAACGGGCTGGGGCGGGCATGCCATAGCTGTAAAACAAGCAGTTAGAGGCAATATTTGCGGAAGCCGAAGAGTCTAATGAACCATAGTACTTACGATGTTTATTCCACTTCTCTGGAAACCCGGTGGGGTTAGAAACCATATGCTCAGTCTTGATGAATAAATATTTGTGCCAATACTTACGGCTCGGCCGGTCGTCCGTCCCAACCACCAACCCCTTTGTGCCGCGAAGCCTTAGGTGCACCATGGTGCCCCTATGGAAACCGGGTGAAAATAAATGCAAGAGGTGGTGCACGGAGACGTCTCATCCAGCTAATTCCGCATACTTAGCCAGCAGAAGAAGCACCTTGAGCGTGTATGGCGTAAGTTGACCGCGCAAACGTGGTAGAATCTGCAGAACTCATCCGCCAAAGAAAAAAGAGGAAGGGTGTAACCAATCATAAATGGGTACTCATAAAGCACAATACCCTGGTCTATGAACGTCAACATAATCCCCCTCCGCCAGAGCCATCTCTACATGAGCGGGTATACTATATTTTATGCGGAGAGCGTCGAGATGAGTTTGATCTATCTCTGAGAGTACAGCACTCGGGGTGGGAGGTGGGTTCTTGCTGAAGTCACTCCGAGACGAGGGATGCCTCGATAGTAACGCCTCCGCTGTAAGAGGATTGTCGTCTTCCTCCACCTCTACCTCTCCGCTGTCGGAAAAAGGTACTGCACTCACCGGGATAATTTCGGAAACCTCCTCATTAGGGCGGCGAGACGTCGGCATAATTTTGTTTAAAAAAGGCAAGCCACACCAATGGAGAGAAAGAGAACAAGACTTCCGATCCAATCGGGAATGAGAATGAGGAAATGCGAAAACGGAAGAAGAGGACTAAAGAACTCTCAGGAATAGCTAAAGTTTTTTATGAAATTGAACCCCTCACCTATTTATAAGGTTGGATGGCGCCCGAATCGAAGCGGCAGGTTTCAAATCAGCACGGGAAACCAAGCGCCAAACCGTCAGCTTTTCTGCCTCGAAAACCCGCGCAATGATGACACATGCGAGAGCTGACGTCACCCAAGGTGGCGTGTACATCTGAATTTCCCGCCAAATAAGGGCATCGTCTCTTATTGGTCGCGTCGTCACATCTCACCAAATTCAAACTTTTCCTGGAAGAGGCATAACGTCCGCTCACCAAGGACGCATTTCGCTGCGACCTCAACGAGCGGAGGGACTAACTGTATGGGTCTAAATGTGACCACCCACGATCTATAGCTAGGACGACAGGCGAGCGCAAACCCACGAGTCGGTATGAGGGAACGTCGCAAAGGTTAAAGAGGGGACGTCCCTGCATTGTCGTTTAGTTTTATCGTAGTGAACACCCCTTGATTCGTCGTCCCAACGAATTAGAGAAATCTCCTAGTATATAAGGGGGATTTTAGGGCTTGTAAGTGGCAGATGAGAAAATATACAAAACTATTTTTCTCTGTTCTTTTAGAATCACTCTCTCTCTCTGTCTCTGGATATCTCTCTATCATCTCTTTGTTATAACGATCCAAGAGTTTATTATCTTCGACTACGATTCACCCCTTCCATCTTTGATTGATTTGCTTAAGAAGAACTAAAAATCTTTTCAATCAAACACATATATACCTATCAACAAAGATCCTAGGTACTCGCGTTTTTCTTATATTTTTCTGTTGGAGTTTTTCATACTTCCATAAATGGAGTACATTTTGCACCGACTTCTTGATAGCACGTAGTTGGATCCACGTGACTGTAAGAAAGAAAACAGTAATAATTAGTGGATGTGATAATTAGGGGTGTGCATTCGATTTATCGATTCGATTTTGACCCTTATCGATAATTACTTATCGATTATCGATTTGTACATATGCTTATCGTTATCGTTTCAATAAGATTTCGATTTTTTCGATTTCGATTTATCGATTTTGGGGGCTTATCGATTCGGTTATCGATTACACCAATAAGGAAATTTGCGGGATTCCATGGAAAGTATATCGCTATAAACGCGCCTAACTAATATGGACAAAAAGAAGCTAAAATAAGACGAACACCATTTATAATATAAAATTGTGTCAACAAGCACATGCAACAAAACTAAAGTAAGGGATCAAATGTATGCCACCAACACTCCAACGGTATAAAAAAAACAAAACAAAACAAAACACATCATCACGGCTAATTCTGTTTTCCATTAATTTGAACTTCATTCCCTTGATCTTTAAATATGATCGTTCCTTAAATGTGGTAGAGAAAATAATAGGGTAAGAGACTTAGGGTAAAGGAAAGGGTATAGATTAAGGAAAATAATATTGTATAGCCGCTTTCAAAATAGTAGCGGAATATATATACATTCTGTATGTTATATTAATCAACACAAATAGGTAATTACTCATTTAACAAGTGTCTACAGTCTAGGGATAAGTGTATACTTATCGTTATCGTTTCAATAAGGTTTCGATTCTTTCGATTTCGATTTCGATAACAAATAATCGATTCGATTTATCGATAAACCGATTCGAATGCACACCCCTAGTGATAATCGCTGGTTACTAAATCAATGGATTTAATTACACATAAGACAACTTATATAATTAAATAAGTGACAAAGGGAAGCTTTGTTGGTAACTTAATATTCCTACTAACAAGTAGAAATCGTGTGGGATAGTTCTACTGTTTAAGCTGGTATTTACTTTTTATCCAGCATTTTCAATGCTTAGCAATAGTACCCACTAATCTATTAAAATTAATATGAAAAGACAGTGTTAACATTTCCTTCCCAAACGGAGCCATTTTCCTTGTCCGATCTGTAAACCCTGTCATTCACCACCGTCGGCGAGAATTCACTATATAACTTGGTTGATCTCTTCCTCCTTATGCTCTTTTCTGTTTTTTGATTTATCAGTCTTAATTTCAAGTTTTTGTTTTGTTTTGTTTTTGCTTGTGATTATGATTTTAAAGTTTACATGCATGAACTTGTTGATCTTTCGCTTTCATTTTTGTCTCTTTTTGCATGGAATACATAAATCGACCACTACTTGTTCCTTTTTACTTTACCTTTTGTTCAAAGTTGAAAGGATCAATTCAATCTCGTTTTTTGTATTACCAAACACAAAACCAATCTTATCTATTTATATTATTTTCTTCAATGATTTTTAAGAGTTCACGAACTCTTACATTATTGTCTTGGACAGATAGTCCTTAACTTAAGTTACACGTTCAAAAGTTAAGGACAATAGGTCCTTAACTTTGACTTACAAGTTCAAAAGTTAAGGACGCTTGGTCTTGAAGTTTGAGTTCCAAGTTCAAAAGTTAAGGACAGACAGTCCTTAACTTACAGTTATACGTGTCCTTAACTTACAGTTACAAGTTTCAAAAGTTAAGGACAATAAGTCCTTAACTTTGACTTACAAGTTCAAAAGTTAAGGACGCTTGGTCTTGAAGTTTGAGTTCCAAGTTCAAAAGTTAAGGACATGTAGCCTTGAAGTCCTTAACTTATAGTTACACGTTCAAAAGTTAAGGACAAGCAGTCCTAAAGTCCTTAACTTACAGTTACAAGTTCAAAAGTTAAGGACAATAGGTCCTTAACTTTGACTTACAAGTTCAAAAGTTAAGGACGCTTGGTCTTGAAGTTTGAGTTCCAAGTTCAAAAGTTAAGGACATGTAGCCTTGAAGTCGTGAACTTAGAGTTGCAAGTTCAAAAGTTAAGGACATGTAGTCCTAAAGTCTTGAACTTAGAGTTACAGGTTCAAAATTAAGGACATGAAATCCTGAAGTCCTGAACTTAGAGTTCCAAGTTCAAAAGTTAAGGACATGTAGTCCTGAAGTCTTGAAGTTAAGGACATGACAGAAGGGTATTTTCGTCCAGGCAGTTAAAGTTTATTAAAGCAGTGGCTAAAGACTAAAGACATTTTAAACGGTGGCTTAAAAGTAAATATATATGTTATTAGTGGTCAACCGTGCTCTCCCCCCACTAACAAGCTTTGCACGCTGGATGGCTCGTTTGATTTTATAGGCATCTACTGAGATTTCCGTCATAAGACAAAAATGTTCAATTATTTCAAACTTAAAGGATCAAATGGGTTCGAATAATAAAATTTGGGCAAAATTAAGCATATTTCCTAAATTGGGGAACCCTTTGGGGTTACAGAACTCTCTCTTTTGGGGACTGTTATAATAAGTGGAGTCATTTTATACAAATTGAATACTAAAAGCTTATAACATGAAGCTACCTTCCAATGACATTCGTTTATAATATAATATTTTCTCCATCTTAATTTTTGTTGCACTTTTTATTTTTCGATAGTCAATTGGATTAAGTTTTGAAGCTAAATTAAATTAGATCAACTCAATATTTTAAAATTAAAATTTTGATATTTGAAAAAATTTATTAAAGTACTATAAGTTATAATTTTTCTCATGTCAATATAATGATAAATATAATTTAAATTGGGACAAAGGGAGTAGTAAGTTTTGGTAATAGGTTAATGTGAGATGTCAAGTACTACTAACAAAAAATGTGGGACTAATTTCGAATTAAGTTATACTTGTCGGACCAAAACAACATTTTTCATAAACGGAAGAAAAAAGAGAATCAGACTTGTTAAAGTGGACCGTAGACTCGAAAACTTCGCGGAAACACAGGGATCTCTGGAGCTTCGATAGAGCCATGGAAGCATTGGCAAAGCTGGAGAGAGTCCAGACTCGACTCCTCAAACGCCTATCGAACCTCGAATCTTCTCTTCTCTCTCAACATTTCTCTCAAAACCTCTCTCTATCAACTTCCACCACCACCGAAGATCGCCTTTCCGGCATTCTTCGCACTAACGGCGTCGTCGATTTCAGCTTCAAACGCGTCCCCTCTGATTACTATGATTGGCCGCTCGAATCTCGTCGTGATATTGTCAGTGCCGCATCCATTCAACATCTCTGCAAAAGCATTGTTCTGGTACCTCCTCTTTTCGCAATTCGTTTATTATTTTATCGGATAATTAACTCGTAATTGTATCTATGTTTTTGAATTAGTCATTGTGTAGTTTTACAATTCATGTGAACAAAATGTGAAACATGTTTTCTCCGACATTTTGAATAAGCAGCAGAAGGTTGCTTGCATTTTAGTACGAGTGTGGTATTTGCTATAGCATTGTATAAATACAACTTATTGGACGAAATTTTAGCATTTTGGATTATGAAAGACGACTGCCTAGAGGTTATTTATAGGATGAGATTTCAATGGACATATTGGGTTGACTGCTGATGGCTATGGCGAGGTGCATGGCGGCTTCGGCTATGGGGATAGGAACGGAGGAGGAACCTTGCCGTTGGATTTCGCTTAGGCATTTGAGCTGGTGATTACGAACTCTAGTTTTCCGAAGAGGGAGGAACATTTGGTTACTTTCCAAAGTACGGTGGCGAAAATAGCCTCTCGATCCTCACAAGGTAGGGGTAAGGTCTGCGTACACACTACCCTGCCCAGACCTCAAGATGTGGGATAATACTAGGTATGTTGTTGTTGTTGTTGTTGGCGAAAACTCAGATTGATTATTTCTTCCTCAGGAGGTGCGATAGAGGGTTGTACAAGGATTGCAAAGTTATCCCGAGTGAGACCCTCGCGACGCAGCATAGGCTCTTGGTGATGGACGTCAATATCATGATAAGGAGGAAGTAGAGGCCTGTTCAAGGATGACCGAGGATCAGGTGAGGAACCTTGACTAAGGATAAAGCTCAGGAGTTGGAGAAGAGGTTAACGGCTATGGGAGCCTGGAGGAGTAGCAGGGACGCGGGCTATGTGGACGACGACGGCGAACTGAGTAAGGGAGGCGGCGAGAGAGGTGTCAGGGGTCTAGAAGGGTTTCTCTTGCGGGCACAAAGGCGACCGGTGGTGGAATGAAGGGGTCCAAGGCAAAGTGAAAGCGAAGAAGGCGGCGTACCTGAAGTTAGTAGGGAGCACATGCAAGGAGGAGAGGAGAGCGAACAAAGAGAGGTATAAAGTAGCGAGGAAGGAGGCGAAGTTAGCGGTCACGAAGGCTAAGACTCCAGCGTTTGGTCATCTATACGAGGAACAGGGGACAAAGGCGGGGATAAGAAGTTATTTTGGCTGGCTAAGGCAAGAGAAATGAAGGCTCGGGATCTGGATCAAGTGAGGTGCATCAAAGACGAGAACGGTATAGTATTGATAGGGGAGGCTCAAACTAAGCGGAGATGACAAACTTACTTTCATGGTCTTCTGAATGAAAAGGAGGATCAAGATATTGTGCTAGGTGATTTGGGGCACTCGGAGAGTCTAACTTGATACCACTATAGTTGTTCTAACATTAACACTAACAAATGTAAACTAATTAGAAGAAACTAGAAAGTGAATAATTATTTTTGATGTTTTAAATCAAATGGGAAAAAGCCTAGGGATGTGATATTTGCCTAGGTGCTGACCTAATGGGTAAATCACGTTAATGCTTGTCTTATTGACCGGGGTGTATTATAACTCTCAACTTTCAATTACCCACTTAATACCTCTCGATTATAGAGTAGTTATGCCCAAATTGGCTTTCTCAAGTTCAATTGGGTATCAATTCAAACAATTGCTCAAGTCGTGTTTTCCCTATCTCTAGTTCAAACCCTTTAATTAGACTAGCCAAAACCTTAAGTAGCCCAATTTCTTGTTAGCCAAGTTTTCCTAGACTAAGTCCCTCTTCTCAAGTAAGAATCAAGTCAAATAGGCATGAATCAATGTTGCAACCATTAAATCTAGAAATAATGCATAGCAAGGCTAAATAATAAACACCCGATCATAAAGAAGCATTAAATTAATCATCCATAAGGTTTATACACTAGGGTTGTGTCACAACACTAGAGAAAATCTAGCTAATCATGCTAGAAAGTGAAGAAAACAAAGAAGAAGAACTAATTAAAGCCATAAACTAAGATTAAATTGATAAAACTAATGATTCTTCATTCAAAACAGTTACAACTTTCCCAAAATAGTAAAAGATAACTTCTACTGGTAAAAACTATTCAAAACTCCTAAAAAAGTGTTTCTTGTCTATTTATAGACTATAGTGCCTTGAAATTCGCTGACAAAGTGCCATTTGGGAGGTTCTGCGACCGCACAATTCCATGTGCGGTTCGCATTTTTCTTCTCTTTTTTTGGCGGAGCAATTCTGCAGCCGCACTATTCCATCTGCGGCTGCACTTCAGCTTCTGCGGCTGCACTTTTGGCAAGGCTTCACACTTGGTCGTTTTGCACCTTCTCTGAACTTTTGAAATTTTGTTAGTGCGATCAGGTTTTGCGGCCGCACAATTGCATGTGTGATCCGCAATTGTTAGAACTTCTTTTGAGGCTTAGGTACCAAACTGAACTGAGTTGTAACAACTATAGTGGTATCAAGTTACTGAGTCATACCATGAAAATTTGGAAGAGGGTGGTGGAACTGAGGGTGAAGAGGAACGTGACTATATCTGACAACCAGTTCGGGTTCATGCCGGGTCATTCAACTACGGAAGCTATCCACTTTATTAGGAGGTTGATGGAATAATACAATGATATGAAGAAGGATTTGCACTTGGTGTTTATTGACCTGGAGAAAGCGTATAACAAGGTCCCTAGAGATGTTTTCTGGAGATGCCTGGAGGCAAAAGGTGTGCTGGTAACTTACACTAGAGCGATCAAGGACATGTATGACGGAGCTAAGATTCGGGTTAGGACAGTGGGAGGCGACTCAGAATATTCCCGATCGTTATGGGGTTACATCAAGGATCTGCGCTCAGCCCGTTCTTATTTGCCGTGGTGATGGACGCACTGACACGCCATATTCAAGGGGAGGTGCTACGGTGTATGTTGTTCGCTGATGACATAGTTGTGATTGATGAGACGTGAGACGGTGTTAACAAGAGGCTAGAGGTTTGGAGATAGGCCCTTGAGTCTAAGGGTTTCAAGTTGAGCAGGACTAAGACAGAATACCCTGGAGTGTAAGTCGTACGCCAAATCGAGGGAAGCAGGCATGGACGTGAGACTTGGATCACAGGTCATCCCCAAGAGGCAGTTTCAAGTACCTTGGGTCGGTTATCTAGGAGGACGAGGAGATCGACGAGGACGCCACACACCGTATAGGGGTTGGGTGGATGAAATGGAGGTTAGCATCTGGAGTCCTGTGTGACAAAAAAGTGCCGTCGTTACTCAAAGGTAAATTTTATAAAACGGTGGTTAGACCGGCCATGTAGTATGGGCAGAGTGTTAGCCGGATAAGAACTCACATATATAGAAGATGAATGTAGCAGAAATGAGGATGTTGAGGTGGATGTGCGAGCACACTGGGATGGATAATATTAGGAATGCAGATATTCGGGAGAAGATGGGCGTGGCTCATATAGATGACAAGAAGGCTCAGATGGTTCCGGTATGTGCGGAGGAGAGGCCCTGATGCCCCAGTAAGTAGGTGTGAGCGGTTGGCTTTGGCGAGTACAAGAAGAGGTAGAGGGTGGCCTAAGAAGTATCGGGGATAGGTGATCAGGCAAGGACATGGTGTGGCTTCAGATTTCCGAGGACACTTGATAGGAAGGTGTGGAGGCCGAGCATTAGGATTGTAGGTTAGGAGGTAGTTGAGTATTTTTCTGCTTCGTACTGGGAGTGAGGCTAGTTTGATAGGGTTTGTCTTAGACTGCTAGTGGTTAATGTTGTGTTCACACTATATTTCCTTTTTTCATAGCACCGGGCCTTATTTACTGGTTGTTGTAATTGCGTTTCATCTATTTTCTAGTTCTTATGCTGCTGTTATTATTTCTATGGTTTTTGTTGATGGTACTGATATATTGTCTCTTTCTGTCTTTTTCGGCTTCTTGAGCCGAGGGTCTATCGGAAACAACCTTTCTACTCCATCGGGGTAGGGATAAGATTTGCGTACACACTACCCTCCCCAGACCCCTTACCCGTAGGATTTTATTGGGTTGTTGTTGTTATGAAAGACAAAAATTTGGAGATGATGTAAGTTGGGATAGAGAAAATGTAAAAAAGCGGTGAACAGTTAATGTGTCATGCCTTGAGCTATATGTTAAAGAAGTGCTGAATCAAATATGTATATGAAACTTTCATGAAGTAGCAGTGAAGAAACAACCCTTGGTGATCATTGAGATAGTTCTGCTTCTAAATTTTCTAATTCATTCTTAAAAAAAATTACTTCATTGTTTTTTACTATTATAAGATTTGCTTTGTATCATTCAATGCTGCTTCTATTGAGACATGTCAAACACAACTACAGTTATCTTATCGAAATGGCCTCATATCTGCGTAGATTGATATTTGGTGTCATCTAAATATGCAATTTTGATGGTGAAAATTTTATGATATTGAGCCTCCTTAACTTTGAATCCATTCATAATCTCTGATACTCTTTTAGTCTTCATTCCATTTCGAAATCTTTATACCTAATAATGCAGGTAAATACTCAAGCCGCATCCAATATTATTGATTGTAGTGATCGTAACAATTCAAAATACTACGTTGTCGTTGTACAGGTAACTATCTGCAACTTTTGCTCAAGATGGAGGAAAATTACTCCAAATACTATGTAAATATCTTTACTATTTTGATCAACAGTATGCAGCTCGATTTAATGCTGAGGCTGTAAAGAATTTTCTGTACATTCTCAATGAGAGCAAGATAGCCAAGAAGAAATTCAACAGTAAGTTACATCTATTTATTACAAAAACATGCATTTGGTCTAATACTTAAGGTAGTCAGAAAACTGAAATGGATTAGCATACAGCTTCGGATAATCGTAATTGTGTATGAAGATATTGGAAAAAACTGTTATTCTTTTGTAGATAGATCAACGAGAACTGTTTTATTTTGATTGTACCAAGAAAAGACTTCCCATGAAAAGTACATTTTAGCTGTATGGACTATCGACCCATATATAAGCAAAATTAGGGATATTTATAGACGTATGAGGATGCATATATTGCAAAACTGAATGTTCTGCTCTTGTTTGAGTAATAAAAATTTGAACTTTTTCTCTTTCTCAATTTAGTTACATTCTTTAGAAACTTTACAAATTAAATATTGACCTTACATCTCAAGAGACTGAGAGATGCGTCCTGAAACGAGGTCCCTTTTCCACCTTTTTAACTGTCAAAATGAAAAGAAAATCGGAAACATAAGAGTGTACTCGTGACACACTTCTTTCTTTTGTGGGATAAGAAAGCAATTATTTGGGCATTACTTGATCTTGGATGCGTTTTTCTTTTTGCTTTAGCGCATTAGGGAACCCAATGAATGGGAGTTGGAGTGGTGTTAATATAATATGTTTAGAGCAACTCACGAGTAAGATTACAGTGGACCCGGAGTAACGATAGCGGGTCTACTATCTACTTTACTGCAGTAGACTAACTTCTCACTAATGCTACTCTTAATTTTTGTGACGCCAAGCTAGAAAAGCAGGCCATTATTTAAGTTTGACATTGTTAATGGCATCAGTAGGCCTCTAAATATGTTAGAAGGGGTGTCTGGCAGCATGAAGTTCAGGAACAAATTGTTTTTTTAGGTAAATAACTTTGTATTCTGTGTAAAGCTTTACAAAACCATAGCTCGACTAATTACATAGTCAGCTATCTAACCAGTATCAAAAACCAGAGAAACAAAAGCCTATACTACATTAAAAGACTAGATCTATCTACTAGAACAAAAGGCTATGTAGCAAAATCTGGACTCTCGGGGCTGCTCTAACATTACAAATTTCCAATGGCTTCCCAGCTTCCACTCTTCTTTTTAAAGACCCTTTGGTTCCTTTCTATCCATATTGCATAGACGCATTCAGCATATGTCATCCGAAAAATTTGAGCTTGTTGCGATCTACCTCTAGAGCAATTGATGGCCCAATCAATGTGTTGTTCCCAATCACAGGCTGTGTAACTTTGTCTTTGTAACCACTGCTGCATCCTGCCCCATAGCTTCCTGGAGTAATCACACTCAGCTACCGAATGATCTCTTGTCTCAGCTTGTGTTTGACATAGGTAGCAATTCAAATCCACAGTCTGGTGACATATGAATGTCAGGAACAAATTGTTAATCTAATGTCTGGATGGCCTAAATAATCTCACGCTGGAAATTTTTTATTGTGCTTCTTTACATAAATGGTTTACTTGCTGGATACATAAAGTTCCATGAACTCATGTCAATAATTTTCTTGGAGAAACTCTGAGTAAATCATCTGAGAGTCGCAATGACTGTGTTAACTATATTTGGCATTTGGATACATTGCCATACTACAATAAGAATGACTATTGAAAAGCATACTTCTTGTTCAGGAAACGTTGAGCAAACAACTGAGGTTACGATGATGGACTTATTTTATGCATTCTTCCTCTTCATTCATTTATCTTTTGATTATTGACTTGCTATAACCATGTCTAAACTGGGAGCAAATAGAGTTGGATGCTATAAATTTATGAGGTGCAATGTCTTCTTTGGTGTCTGCATTTTGCTTGAGTACTGCTTATAGAATGATGTTAGCCACTGGATGCTTTTTGCAGTGAGGCTGGCTCCTGAGGAGACATCAGTAAAGCTGACTGGTTATGAGCACAATGCAGTCACATGTATTGGCATGAAAACCAACATACCGGTACTCAGTCTCTTTGTTCTTTCACTGAAATTGTCATAGTGTTCCCCAGTATTCTTCTGTTTACAGTTAACATTTGAACTGTTCCCATGTCACTGTCCACATTAGTTAATGAAATGTTGTGCAACTCATCACACTCATTACTTTCTCTAATGCTGCAGCTGATGGTAGCTAATGCCATATCAGCTAGTTTAAGAGCTACTCCTAATGAATGCCAAGATTTGTGATTACATTCTCTAATGCTGCAACTGGTGGTACCTAATTTCCATATCAGCTACTTTCTGAGCTGCTTCTAATGAAATCCAGGATTAAGTGGATAATCACACTAATGAAGATATTAACTTGACTGGAACACTCCTGTTGTAAATCATTGATTCCTCTAAAGTATTGTTGGTTAAACCACAAAACATCTGTCTGTCTTGCCTCCTGCACTCATGTGCATTACATCAATGTGTATTAGGTAGTGCAGCCTTCATGTCCACTGCTGTTTGCTGTAGCTTGAACAAATTGGGCCCTGAGATCTAGTTGCCTGTGTCTTGATTCCTGTCACTCTCTTGCTTACACCAATTGCTAATAATATGCGATATATGCTGATGGGTCCCCGGTCTACCACATTTAGATGGGAAGTGGACTAATTGGTATGTGTTTTACTCTCCATCATTCTTTTTCATTAATGGACTCTATGCTATTCATTGTGCCAGCTGTGCTTCTTCTCACTGTTCCTAAAATCTGTATCTGTCAATGTTGTTGATCTAGAAATGCAGCCTACCAGTTTTTCTCGCTTCTTCATTAGCTCAGATTAGAGGCCACTTCCTTGAAGTTTTCAACCCCTTTTTTGAACATTACTACACTTTTGCCTATAATTAAATTACATAGAGAAGCTTTACTTTTTGCAACTAGTAGGCAGAAGAGCAAAGGCCACTGAAACTTGCTCAACAACTAAAGAGTTATCTATAGCAGCAAAACGTAATCTTTAAAGTGATAGGTGAAGAAGTACTTTATTGACGATTCTCTTGCTAGTACGTTATTAAATTCTTCAGCCAGAGACATCCACGGTTTAAGCCGAACATCAATTTCTTACTACTCAAACTTGTAATTAGTCACCCGATACCTGAGGTTCGCGTTATACTTTCTGTTGCAGTAGAAAGTCCCAACTATTGTGGAAAATAGTGCTTTACTACTATATCTTGTACCAATTCTTACTAATTTTAACAGGTGATTTTGGATGAAGCAATCGCCAAGCTCAATCCTGACTTCTTCTGGTTCGGAGGTGGCGAGATTGATCTTAAACTGGGGATCAGGACATCAGAGTTCATCAATTTTGTGAAACCATTCATTGTCAACTGTAGCAGTGGTTAAAGGTCTCCATTCAGACAAAGTCAGACTCAATGAGGGAAAAAGACGGGTACTGTCACAGGCATTTTTCTCCTCGAGACCTACACAATCCATGCACAGTGCTTCTCTTTGATTTTTGCTCCAAAATTGATTTCCAGGTTCGCAAAATGATTTTAGTCCGTCAAATAGTTAGGTCCCATTGCACCTGAATTGTCACTTCTACCAAATGGATCAATGATCGGTTTAAACGTCATGACATAAATTGTCCTGCGCTCAGGTTCTTATAAATGAAATTTTGTTAGGTGCATTTTTAACTACTTTTCCCCTCCTTGTTTCGCATAATGCGATCGGTAATGACAGCAAGTGCTTCTCTCTATATTGATGTTTGAATTGTAAAATAGAATAAGTATCTTATACAAAGATATGACATTTAAACTTTGGTAAATTAGGATTTAAGTAACGTAAACTTAATTGTAAAGAACTTTTAGCCCATCACTGTTTTTCTTTTTTTTTTTTTTTTATCCCTCCCAATTTAGGAAGATCTATAGTGTTTCTACACTTCCCCTCCAGTGTGACTCGTACCCAGGACCTAACGGTCGTGGGTGAAGCTGCTTTACCAACTGAGACACTTCCGCTCCAGCGTGACTCGAACCCAAGACCTAACGATCGTCGGTGGAGGTTTTTTACCATCACTGTAGTTTAATGCGTTGTAGTAGGTTACACATTACTCTCTCCGGTCCACAATAAGTGATCAATTTGCTTTGGGCACACCCATTTAGGAAATACTAAATTCTAGACGAAAATAGTTAGTGTGACTAAACTACCCTTCATTAAATGTTGTTCCATAGTTATAGTAGCACTTACTTCTCTTTTCAAATGTGAGGAGTAAATGACTTTTTAGGGATACGTACATAAGGGTAATTTGGAAAAACAAGTTGAATTTTTTCTTGATTATATAAATGGACACTTATTTTGGACCAAAATAAAAAAGCAAATTGGTCACTTATTGTGGACCAGAGGAAGTACTTTTTTTCAGGTTACCAATCCTCATTACAGGAAGTTATTTGTAATTTTCTTTTAAGTGACTTTTTTATATAAATATATATTTGTGACATCCATGTGAATTCCATATTAACAAAACACAGGAGAGATACTAGATATGTAAGTAAACAAGTCTGAGACCTTAGTGATGCTTTTTAAAACGTGCGAATCTAGGCTTAAAACGAACAATATTACTAGTGGCTACACTGTTACATATGGTATTAAGGACACGTCCGCGTGCATCCTTGAACGATGGTGGGGTAAAACCTAGTGACGCATTTTAAAGTCGTGCATGCCTAGATCCAAAGAAGACAATATTACTAGTGGGTTGGCTGTTACAATGTTACACCTTTAGTCTATATAGCTTGAACTTGATTAGAGTTGAAGTTTTATATATTAAAGTAGTGTAAAAAGAAATTAGATGATTACTTAAAAGTAAACAAGAGACAATGATCTGCAATAAACGTGGGTAAATATATATTAAACGTGTAGAATTTTTTCACACTGTAGTAAATATAAACGCTCTTCCAACCCCAAGGCTGCGCGCAAATTGGACTGTTGCGAACTACAACTTAAAGGCAAGTGACAAATAGAAAATTTGTTTGCCTCCCTATGGTTGTGCATATGATAAATGACAAGAATAGATTTGGTTTCTTGGATATCAAATGCAAAAGACCAAAGAAGGGACAGCGCAGAAACTAACACATAACTCTCCATCATTAAATAAGAGAACCAACCAACACATTGACCACCACTCCATTTCACTGCTATTCTTTTTCTACTATGTATATTTATTATATATGCACTTTTTAAATCAAGGCAACAGTTGATTAAAACAACACAATAATATGAGGGACCATATCCATCCACATCATGCCCTTAAACCTCAATCACCATGCATTAATGTAACACGTGACCATACAACTGATATTTCTTGCTAGGGCTTTTGTATTTCTTAGAATTTCTATTTGTACATATATGGAATATCGTATCATATACGAGTATTCTTTCTTATGTAGGATTCTCCTTCATTTGCGAAAAAAAAACAAAAAAGAACAAACTGAAAACCGACAGACTCATGTATATAAACGAGAAAGCAAAATACATATAAGTATGTTTTTTCATCTACTAAGATATAAATATATAAATCTAGTGTTTAGTGTTGTGAATAGGTGGTTTTCGATGGGGTTGAGCATAGTCCATAACCACCACGTCTTCCACAGGGTCTTTTTCAATGGAGTTCACTGCTTCTTCCTCATGTTGTGCTAATGGTGGAGTTTCTAGAATCAATCGCGATTGTCTCCTCAACATCTGCATACAAATTTGAAATCTAAATTAAACATCTTCTTTTGTAAAAATATTCACATTTAACCGAAGAGTTTGAGCTCCTGTAACTTTTATACTATCAACTCACTTAAAAGTGGGATTAATAACTTAAAAAATAAAGCAAGTTACAGATAAAATATACTTATTGTAAAAATTGTTTACACTACTATGTAAATGTAGTATATAAGTGAAACATTCAAAATAAAAGATGGTCTGTTTACAAGCGTAGAAATTGGAAACTAATTGCTCTTGACTTTGTGCATGTCAATATACAATATTGAAAGATGAGATTGTTAATAGCTAAAAAGATCAATATGCGATATGTTACAACATGTAAAATCAGCTGAATTTTAAATAGTTTTATTCTTCCTAATTGATTAAGTAATTCTTGGGTTACAAGAAAATTTTACTCTTTCTCATAGTATTTGAGTTTAGCACTTGATTCCTTCAAGGTATACTCAGGAGCGGAGCTAACATGAGGGATATGGGTTCGGGCGAACCCAGTAGCTTTAATCCAAACCTTGTATTTATCATAAGAAGTCTATTAAATATGTATGAATATCAATTAACCCAGTAACTTAAACGGATTACAATCCCGAACCCATAAACTTCAAATCCTGGCTCCGCCTCTCGGTATACTCTGTCATGCTAATATATGTTCAGTGGCATAAACTCCAATTATATCGTGTGTGTATCTATATATATAGAGAGAGAGAATTAGAGCTTTACCTTTACTTGAGCTCCTTCTTGAATTGTCATGACCTTGTTTCCTGTTATAATTCACACCACATATTTCGTCATTTATAAAATTTAAAGGGTTAAAACTTAAAAGTAGGAAAATAAAGATTCATGATCACTTCGAAACGGAAGCATTAATGAGTTCTTTTCTCTTTCTTCCTTCTCTATGTCTCTATTTATAACTTGTTGAAAATAATGTCACTCTTAACATGGAAAAGTATGAAATTGAGCTCTAAAGTATCCAAGCAAGGATGGTTTAATTGAGTTACAAAGGAAGAACTATAATGCTACATATTTCAAAATGTGTGGATATTTTTGCATAGAAAGAAGAAACTCAAACGGAACACTAGAAACTATGAAAATTGATATGTTTCAACAAGAATGGAAATATTTAACGTGGTGCAAATTAATGAACTATCTAATCTTATCCAATACCTTTAATTTCTTCTCCATCTTCCTTTCGTGAGACACTTGATCTCTTTTTCCACATAAGTTTTGCATCATTTCCACTTCCATTATTTTCAGACGTGATTCTTCCTTCTGTTTCATATGTGTCCCTTGTCAAAAATGTTACATCCTGCAAACAAAAAGTAAATTATATATAGTCAAATCAATTTTCTTAACTTACCTAATCTCCACACCAAATGAAAGAGATAGTAATATATATAAGCTTAAAACAAGAAAAAAAAAAAAAAAAAGAAATATTTGTAAGGCAAACCTGTATTCTGTTTTCTTCATCAGTAGTTGTTGCAAGTGGTCTAGCACTGCATGCATGGAGAGAAAGACAAACCAAAAGATAAACAAGAAACTTAGACATATTGACAATTTTTTCCCCTTTTTTTCGTTCTTTACGAGTGATTATGAATAGGGTATTTATCAAATTTCAGAGAGAATAATTGTAACTTTGTAATGGTAGCTAGGGTTGTGGGATTGTCAATGAATCATACAGGGGATATATGTAGTGTGGAAAAGGGCAATGAATGCATTAAATGCAGGTTTTGTAGGGAGATGAACGTAGTTGTGTCAAGAGAACATGCAGATGATCCCTTCACAACAATTTTGAAGATATTGGCGGCCTCCCCATGTCCCCTCCTCCTTTTAATTTCTCAATCAGCAAAGGGCCCATGGATTTAGACTCCTACGAATGTGCCGTGAAATAGTCGAAGTGTGCGCAAGCTGATATTGATATTATCGTTTGTGAGATTGTTTCATTATGATCATATGATTTTGGTTAATTCTCTTTGCATGAGCTAACTATTAGTTGAGTTAGGTCCAATGACCATTTTTCATATACTATCAGTGTCAAACTTATGCTTGTTATTGTGTTTCTCGATCGGTGTTGGACAACCATGTTGTGTTATTAAGGGGCGGAGCCACATTGGTAGTTACGTGTTCGGCAGTGTTAAAAAGTTTATTTAATATGTACAAATAATATATATTCAGAACCCACTAAATAAATTAATTAGTCAAAACCCATTTACTAAAAATTTTGGCTCCGTTTATGGTGTTATCCACACTCCAATTGTCCAGGTTTAGACGTAAAAGACTGTTAGATTGTCCCACATTAGGTGAGTGAATGGACGGTTGTCTCCTTATATATAGTTTTTGGGCAATTCTCACTTCGTAAGCTAACTTTTAGGATTGATCACATTCAAAATCTATTTTCATGGCACCCTTTATAAATAAATAAATAAATAAATAAATAAATAAATAAACCATAAGAGCTCCTTTGGGTTAAGTTCTTCCAGTCAGTAGCTTAACATCGCACTCTCCTGCCGACAGTGGAAAATAGAATTAAAGTTGGAAAGAATTTTCCTTTAAATTGCTTACGGGCTACTTTTCGAGTAAATATCAACTCCTTTGG